GTGGCACTCAGGCCTGATCCCACCATCCCTGTCATGGATGAGGATCCTGGCTGAAGTATGGCTTCCACTATGGATGTGGAGGGGAATCCTGCACTGGTAATGGGGAGATTGATCGAATGTTTCCTTCATCCTCCTCAATGTCCTCCAATGCGGAGTATAAAAAGTCTGAGAAGTTTGCAGTACCAGGAAGCAATGGTAATCCAGAGACTGGAGTCTCAGTACCAAGAGTCATCCGATACCCCTAAGCAGTGCTCAGCACTTCTGAAAGTCAGATCAAGTGTATTTACTTGTTTGAGATTTATTTTGACAAAACTCTTTATAATCATAAACACTATCAAAAATCCTGAGCCATCGAAATTAGTATCTCAAAGCATTTTTACCAAACTAAATGTGCAGTGAAAATTGCTTATATACCCACTGATTTAAAATATCTCTCCCCCCACCCCAATGTTTAAATATACTTTTTTCATGCTGGAGTACATTTTGAAGAATGGCAGCAATGAATGATTACACCAGAGACAGAATCTTATTAGTCTCTAAGGATCCGCATGGCATGTACTGGGTTTCAGCAACTATAGCTGTACTACTTGAGGCAACTTGCTGTTGAAGACACACAGAGTGATAAACTGAGACTGAGCCAGATAACATCGCAAAGCCAGTTTTTGCACTATAAAATGATACAGCACAAGTACAGTCTCAGTAAGAGAGGTGATAGATCAGGCAGATGCAATGGCCCAACTGACACCCTGACAGCTGCATAAGACAGTGATGAATGAAGAACCAGGATAATAACATCATGAGTAATATCCTGGTGCTTAACTCGAACTTACACGTAACCCAGGCACTGCTGCTGCCCGAAGCAATAAAGCACAGAAAGCACAAGGCTCCTCTCTGAGGCCACACATCAGCTACCTGACATTTATCAAGTAAGTTTTTTGATATCTAGCCCTGAACAAGCACAGTTCAAGAAGTCTCATGATTCAAAGGCAGATGTACATCAAGGAAGACTTCCTGTGAAGTACATGGACAAATCTCTTTGATATTGGCCTAGATCAATGTTTTATAAATTGGTCAATGGCTTCACAATCAAACCTTATCAATGGAACCAAAAACATTAAGACCCTTTAATCTACTAGAATGAAAATAAACAAACATGGCCAACTTTGAAGGCGGTAGCCAAAATCCACAGTATAATTTGGGTTGGATAGTAGTATTGCTCTATGGTACAGACCAGTGGACAGAACATAACTTTTAAAAATGATCTTCCAAAGACAAAGAACAGCTGTTAAATTGTCTTTTAGGGCTGCTCAATATTTGTGTTACTGTCAGGACTAAAAACATAATGAAAGAAACAGAACAGAGAAGAAAGAAATCTAGTAAAACTAATAGAACTATGACAAAGATTAGACAGAAGAGCAGTAAACAATAACAAGCACCAATCAAAACATAACCCTTATCTCAACTGATAACTCTGCAAGGAGCTCATTAATACTTTATAACATCAATCCTAAACTTCAAAATAAATGAATTTCAGAAAAGAGGAATAAAAAGCACTGCATGCTGAAGTGAGTCACTGAGAAATCTGTTACTCAGTTATAAGAAGCTAAATGAAGAGAAGCTTGAATAACACCATAGCTGATGAAAACCTGAATAATCAAAAATGACTTAGAAGAATTAACACTAGTGATGCCAGAAATGAAAATTCAAAACATGAATATGAAAATCACCTTTCCCTATGCTCTTTGGCAAACATTATTAAACAGGGCAACTAGGACTGAAATAGTGTTGCATTTTTGTTGTCCTGAATTAATCACTAGTTTTTTTTTAAATACTGAATGGCTAGCAAAAATCAGTTGGACGTGGAGTTTACACAAGTTTATAGCTAAAGTTATAAAAGCCTCAAGTGTAACACAAACACATTCAGGACAAACAGCCCTGTACTTGAGACATTTAAACTTATTACCAAACATAGGCCAGTTTCTGAAGGACATTTGTTGATAGTCTGAAAAACACTCAGAGCAGTATCATAACAGCTAATTAGTTAACAGTTTAAAGTCTGAACAGCAGGAAGGGATATAATTCAAGTTTATTAAATGAAATGACCCAACCTCAGCTATCTGGATTATTCTGGGCAATCCAGAAGGGGGTGATTATTGATATATTAGATAAATAATAACCAGACAGTGAATAAACCACTTGTTGAGTACTGATGCACTGAGGAATTTTGGCTATTTTGCAAAAATATTGAGCTTTGAAAACAATTCTGTTTATATATTGTAATAATAAATAACATTTATATGGAGTTTCATATCTTCACATATTAGTAAATAATTATTAATTCTAATTCCTGCAGATGTCTTCCTGCCTGTATAACTAAGGACACTTGTGAGAGTACAGGGTCTTGGGTCATTTCCAGAACAACTGTCTGTGATGTTTTGGAATTATTAGACAAAAAATATCTTGTTTTCAAGAAGAAGTGTATCACACTGAAGGCCAGAGTAAGAGAAATATAGAGAAATATAACATATCAAACTGGTGTTGGTAGACAACATTTTTTAAAGTTTTCCATAAAGCACAGCTACTCTTCAACATAGCTTCTATTTTCACATTATCCTATGATAATTATATTTTCACAGTAGTCATGAGCCCACTGCTATTTACTATATTAAAAAAGTTATTTTCTTGGCTTGCAGATGCACCACCTTGGGCTATGAACTTATCACAATTCATAGGCTAAGAAGGGTTGGATTTAGACAGAATCTAGAGTTCTCCCAAGTAATGGGTGCTGCAGTAAGTTGTGTTGGTGATTCAGCAGGAGTTCTTTCCTCTGAATCAGTGACTCTTAACCTATTTACCATTGTGGGCAACATATGCAGCTCTCCCTGTGTTATTTGGGCCACATCCACAGAATATATATACTACTTGTATGGCCCTGAGAATGTCACATGGGCCGCACAGTTGTGCTAATTGGGCTGCAAGTGTTCCACGGGCTGCAGGTTGAGCACCACTGAACTGATCAAGGTTCCTGAATGTTGTTAGATCAACCCTGTACTGCAGGAGATGCCATCTTCCGGTTATTAAAACACTCTTTGCACTTTTCACAAGGGTAGATGTATTAGCTCTGGTTTCCTAGCAAGAGTCAATGTGGGCAATTACATTCTGCCAGTCTAAACTCCAGTTTCAATTTCATATAGTAATTTTTTACTTCCTGTTCAAAAGTCTTGTGTACGGTTGATTGGTATGAACACCTGATTTGAACACTCTATTGCAGAGATGGCTGCATTTCAGTGTTAGATGAAGTAATTTCAGTATATTTAAAGAGCAAGATTTGCAAAGGTGACTGTTGTTTCTGGGTGCCCAACTTGAGACACCTTCAAGAAACCTGATTGTCCAGGAGCGCTGTACACCCATCCTCTAAGAAACAGGCCCCTTGAAGGTGTTTCAAATTAAGTACACAAAAGAATGGAGTATCCCAATATCACTAGTCAAGTTTGAAAATCTTCACCAAAGGGCTCTGGGAATACTTTGGAATGTGAAAGCAGTGAACAAATATAAAGCACAAAGGAAGTGTGTATTCATCATAATGGGGTGGTCCCAATTTTATCTTCTATCAGGTGGTCAACTGTTTGCAACAATTGGCTTGTACATTTTGTGAGAGACTCTCTCAACCAATCACTCACTGAAAGAAAGATCAACAGGAAAATTATGTAGTTGGTTCACATATAGAAGAACTCAGCAAAAATCTTAAATACTCTAGAAACTTGATATTTGTAGTAACTGAGATACATGGATTTTTTGTTATATTAAATGATAGCAGATAAAAAGCTTAACAGGACAGCAAAGCTACTTGCATGCTTTAGTCATATAATTTTCACTGGAGAGCTATAATAAAATTGTGAAATCTTAGAAAAGCTCAAACTATTGATCTGTACATACAAGCTTCTTCTATTGTTTGAGAAACTCTAAAACTTTTCTTCTTCAATACAAACTTCTCATTAAATCAACTACAGTCTTTGGGAAGATTTACTTTGCCTTCATCTCCCTTCAACTAGCACTGGGAAAGTTAAGATATACTGTTTTATGGTATATATGACACACACATATATTTCTTAGAAGGCAATTGGGTTATTTGCATGCATTATTTCTTTGTTCACAAAATTAATAAATTTATCTGTTTGCTTTTAACAACAAATGCAAATGTTAAGATGTTTTAGTTGGTAGTAGGATGGTATACTTTCATCCCTAATATCATGCTCTTTTATGAGTGCCCAGATCAATGCCATTCAGCATCACCCCAATTTTTCACTGAGCCAGACTGAACATACAATATACAGTATATTAGATACATATGAATGAAACACCATGTTGCGATAATTTAAAGGACACAATGGATTACAGAGCAAGACCCTTTATTGTAGAGATGTACTTTGGTCAGTTTTAACTGTAATTATAACATGCAACTCAGCATTAAGCTATAAACTAAAAGTGCTTGTAACCATTAGAATGTTCCTTGAGATCAGCGCTAGAAAAAGGCTTGTGAACAGTCCTGCACTGGTAGGAATGGACAATATGACTCAACAGAATATTCTTGAGCGCTTTCTACAGACTAGTTTTAAATGTCTTTTGTGATGGTGCTTCTACTACTTCCCTAGAGAGGTCATTCTACAGTCTAATAATTTCACTGGTTCACTAAGACAGCATACCTAATGAGGCTGGACAAGAAAATAGGTACCTGTACAGCCCCACATCAACCCATTCTAAAAAGGAGAAATGGCAGCATAATGAGCAAGAAAAGATTGATACCAAAAGAGGAAGCAGTGGATGGGGACGAGAGAGAGAGAGAGAAGGACAAGTAATAATCTAAAAGGCTGTTTCCCAGACTTCATTCTTTTCAAATAGGAGCAGTTTAACATTTAATTTGAAGCACAGTTAATGACTAGGTATTGGAATTATTTTAGAAAAGAAGAGCATAGAAGATATATATATCCATCTTGTCTTACATGAGTGAATAAAACTTCATTCTTGACCTCTTCAAGACTTTCGTTCGGGGTCCAGGCTTCAGCAAAACTCAAGAAATCCCACTTCTCCTTATCACCTTCTTCAGCCTGCAATTTCTCCTTCTTCCCATTCAACGTGCTGCCTGTAACTTTGGCCTGCAGACAGATGAAGTTAATCATTTCACACTTCAGAGTAAATTTAGTTGCTTAAGTTTACTAAGCATTACTTCCCTTTCAAACATAACTCAGCAACTGTAAAAGTGCAGAACACAATTTAGTAGTTCAAAGTAAAAAATGTTTTAAATAACTGACTGAAGATCTATAAGGCTACCATCTGATACTCCTTCAAATCCTCTATCAAGATTCACTAGTGCCACAATGCCAAGGTGAAATCTACTACTGTATGATGACTTGGCAATGGGACAGTTGGGGGAACTCAATATTTATCGATTTATGTTACTACAAAACTTAAATAATATATGTCCCTTTCACAAAGCCTTTATATGTTTGCGACGGTTCTCGGGATAGCTAGAGTTGAGAGGCACCTTGCTAATACCTGCCCTTAGTGTGAGGAAGCCTGCAAGGGTCAGCTCTCTGATTCTCCCAGCCACAGGAAACACCTAGTGCTTTTTACAATCTGTCTTACCCATTCCAATGGCCACAGGGCAATAGAATAAAAACAAATACAAAATAATAAAGGAGAGATGGGAGCAAATTCCATACCCTAGCAACCACTGAAGTAAAAGCACAGTTAATTGCTGACTTCAGATGCTGTGGTGGAATCCTTAAGTGGCAGGTGGTGTCTGAATATTGAGATTCATCTCTACAATGCTCAAGGAGCCAGGTCTTGAATGTAGCCAAGGCAATATTAATGTTGGGATTTTCAAAGAAGCCTAAGGGAGTTAGGCATACAACTCTCATTGAATTGTAATGGGATTCAGGTACTTGGCTTCCTTAGACTCCTTTGTAAATCCCAACTTAAAACTTTGAAAGCCACACGTCTTTCTAGGTATGACATATTGGAAAGCAACTGTAAACATACCAACAACACATACTAGTTTCCAAAACATCACATGGATCAGGCATATTAAAAGCTACTGAAAGATCCAGCGTGACCAAAATAATCAGCTGATTTTGATCAGCCAGAAGAAAATCAATCATGAATCTGAGATGAGCAGCCTCTGCTTCAAAAGAAAGCCAAACACAGAGTGGAACTAATCAAGGATGCTGGGTATCCAAATATGCCTGGAATTGAACAGCCATCACCTTCTCAGTCACTCTTCCAAAAAAGACTGAGAGTTACTGACAAGCGTATCAGCAACAAGAGATGGTTTCTTGGATTGGTGTCTGGGAAATTAACCTGTGTGTTTAAGAATGTTCAGCAGCCTTTCTGACCAAAAAAAGACTAAATAGTGCACATCAGCTCGTACATGTCCATTTGTCATACTAGCATGTCTCTGAAGCTATCATCTTGTACTCTAGAGTCCCAGGTGTTTGTTGTTTTTTTAAGTAAATGTCTAATTGTTAAGGTTGCAAAGAAAACCACAGAAATGTGAAAAGAGTAAATGAAGCTTAGATGAGCCTGCAGATAGCTTGAAACAATAGACCTGATAGGTGTGAAGTGCCAATGAGGGGTTAATTCAGATGCCCATTGACGATAATTTAAATGTCAACATTGCAAATTATTTTATTCCTCCTGTATAAAAAGAGAGTGACTGCTACAGATCTGCACAATTTACTGTGAGTTGCATCTAATTTTGATGTCACAAGTAAGTGGTGTTTGAGAGATATCACCACTGATTTCCCCCGACCCAACCCAGTCAAGGAGGAGCCAAGCCCAAGAACCTAGCAGAGCCCAGGGTCATATTCAAATCCCACTAAGTGGGAGCCAGTATTTGCACAATCTATTAAGAGCAGCATCTCATTTTGGTGAGTCATATAAGTGGAGTTTATTTTGTGGGCACAGCTAGTGCTCATCAATAATGGCACTACAGCTAATCGATTTACTCTGAATAAAGCCCAGAAAAACACTGACATCACAAACAAAATACAAATCAAACACAACCAATGGATAACAATAATATTCCTTTAAGGGGCTAAATTTTTAGTGTCACGCATTAGAATTTTGGTGTACAATCTTTCTTAATGCGAATGTCTATTTTGCAGATGAAGACCGCCAACCAATGCAATCGTAGTCATTTTAGTATTTTCCCTTAATTAAGTCAGGTTTAGAGGACAGTGGTTACTTGCAGCATCCTTCCTTCATGTCTTCTTTCCAGTCCTTTGATACCTGTCATAAGTAAGCTATCACAACTAGCTGTTAACTCTCTTTCCAAACTTTGATGTGAATATTTCTAAAACTATCATCTTTTCAAATGTCAATTTCTATAGTTTTCTAATAGAACCTTCAGTTAATATTTTCGAGGATGAAAAGCAGTTGTCTCAAAAACAACCTCATCCAAGCCATCCCAATTTCACAATTGTTAGTGGAAAGACAGAAATTAAATGTTTTGTGATGTTAATCTTGTCTACCACTACATAAACCTGCTGAATCTTACTGGATCCTTTAATGATCTTTTCTTCCCTATTTGCATCTTAAAAAACAAAACATGTTTATCTTTGCCTCTTACGAAAGGATAGCAGAAAAGATAAAAGTTAGTTCTGAATAAAAGTTGTCATTCTGGTCCCCTGCAATTGTACATATACTGGTTGCTTTAATATCCTGAGATTAGGACAATGCCCCTCTACAGAATCCTCCACAGCAAACATCCTTGAATACTGTGGATTCCAGACACACATCAAACACTTCGTTGATTACTTTGTTTTATTTCAATACATACCTTGCGATTCAACATTGCCCACATAAGAGGATCTAAAGTTCCTTTTGCAATAAGGTAGTGGATATTTACAGAACTGCATTGTCCAATTCGATGTGCTCTGTCTTCTGCTTGCTTCATGTGTCCAGGGTCCCAGTATAACTCAGCAAACACAACGTGAGTGGCAGCAGTAAAAGTTAAACCCTAAACAAAATTAGTAAAAGCAGTGTTGATTCACTGATTAATCAAATGCTAGACAGAGAAGATGTGACTCTATAAACACACAAGTACATTTCACTGAATGACTGAACATCAGAAGGGAACTACTACAAATAATGTAAAATATTTTTATAATGGCAATAAGATACTGGAGACAAAAGGTGGATGAGCCAATATCTTTTATTGGACCAACTTCTGTTGCTGAGAGAGAGAAAGACAAGCTTTTGAACTTACACAGAACTCTTCTTCAGATACTGGGTGACCTGGACAGCAGATGGTTCATAGACAGATACATGTTGGGTTTTTTTCTAAGGCGAGTCAAGGCATTTTGCTTCTTGTTGCAAGCAAAACAGGATTATTAATTTTATGGTTGCTCCATTGAAGAGTAACCCACACCAACTATACTGCAGTACTGATTTAAGCATTGAAAATGGATATGACAATTATTAATGCTTCTGAAGTATTTGTGCCCATAACAACATGAAATAGCGACAGCTGGAAATGTCAGTAAGATATAGATAAACCGCAGTATTGTGTAACTGCCACCACATTGCTTCCCCAGCAAACAACAGTGAAAAGTGATGTTTGCTTCTTATTACATTGGTGCTTTTAGAAATGAGTGAACTCACACCAACATCCTATTTAAGTACAGGCTGACACTTTCCTTGCTTTGGTTCTGTAGAAATAATTTCAACTTAAATTCAGTACCGATTATAGGGTTGGTGCTAAATTGGTTGCTGAATGCAAAAGCCTCATGATATAGGTCACTTATAGTGAGACATCATATGTATATGCTTTGTCTTTTTAAATTTTATACTTCAAATTGCATTGTCCAATATCTACTTTTTTTTTTTTAATCTTACCTGACCAGCAGCCTGAATGCTCAGGATGGCCACACGAGTATCAGGATCCTTCTGAAACTGATGGACAAGATGGATTCTTTCTACTGAAGGAACACTTCCATCTATCCGAATGTAACGTGCCTATAACATCCCAAGATAATGGCAAATTTACATAATGATTCCCATAATTTACATAAAAGAAATTTTTTTTTGGACAACTATCAAAAAACTGGGAATCAGAATAGCTTTGTTCTACTCCTAACTCAGGACCATAGGACCTCTGTGTTTCAGTCTTTTCTATCTGTAAAATAGGGATAATCATCTCACCTACCACATGGGAGTTCAATGAGGCTTAATTCATTTATTAATGTTTGTAAAGCAACACGGAATCTTTAAATGGAAGGTGTTACAGAAGAAAATTATTTCACTGTGAGGATTATTTATTAATATTCTCTTTAATTCCAACTACCATTTTTTGAGCTATTATAGTACACTGAAACAGTACACTATTTTAGCAATGACCTAAAGGACTTACTCTACAATAGTATAATGGCAAGGAATCTGGCATTTATTGTTCCAGATACAAGTGTTTACATTATTTCTCAAAACTATTCTACAACCAAGATCTTTTCAATACTGACTGTGGCCCTGATTCCACAAACACTCACATGAATTACTGAGAACTCAAGGAGCTATGCAAGTGCCTCAGTGTTTGCAGGATTGGGGCCTAATAATATAATCTTTGGAAGAGGTCATTTTTAAACTCTATGAAGAGCATTTAAAATTACCTTGTTTTCTATGGCTGCCTCTGTACAAGCTTGGAGCATGCTTAAGTGGTGAGCAAAAACCAGAAATTTAAGTTTGTCATTCTCAAGCATCATTTTGATATAGTCCTTTACTGCTCCTGCCTAGAACACAAGAAATGGTGAAATTTTATTAGTTCTACAGACTATACAAAAAATTCAGACAGTGATGGTTTCTGCTTTAATTCCTTTTGTGATGTAGACTTTATTAGGAGGACAGAAAGTTAACCATTTTTTAAATCGTATGAGTCATGTTCTAACAGAGAAAAGCCTTTCCAGATACTGTCTTCATGATTTTAATGATCCGCTGTTCCTTTACAAGTTTCTCTTAACTTCAAAGGATTTGATAGTTTTGTGGTGCTTGTTAAGGATTAAAATGCAATTTTTAAACTCCTTTTAGCTAAAATAATGACTACTCAGATTGATCATTTAATATGCTGACAATCTAATGAATATCAATTGATTTCTGTCCTAGAGATATTTAAAGGGACACCAACAAAAAAAAATGCATTAAAAAAAATCTGCACCTGTGTCCCTAACACCACTGATTAAAACTGAAAGAATAATCTAATTCACTTTTTCCTATTTCTACTCACGTTAGGCTTGCAAAATATTTTAAAAACTTAGCAAACTAGAGTCATTTAAAATGATTAATATGATATTGGTATTGATATGGTATCAATGGAAGATTATTCCTGTTAAGTATTTGATACAGAAGACTATACTCTTTGACCTTAATATCATTAATATAAAGGTTAATTTGTTACCTAATTAAGTGGCTCTTTTAGTAATGAATGATACGATCACAGAAAATTTCCAAAGTTTTCTCCATCAAAGTTTAGTCTATCACTCTTGTGCAAAGCATTGGTTAGTTATGAATTATTTGTATTACAGTAATAATTAGAAGACACAGACAAGTTGGGGCCCCACTGTGCTGAGCACTATACAGGCATATATTAAGACACTTCCTGTCCCAAAAATGTTACAATCTTAGTTTAAGACAACATGCAGCTCATAAAACAAACAAATGGCAGGAGAGAGGGAAGGTTAAGAGTGGAATTTGGGGAAACAGTAATACGAGCATGTTATGGACACACGGGACTAAATAGTACATAGTTTGTTTTGGTTTGTAAGGAGGGATTTGAAGGAGCGTGCAGTAGTGGCTTTGCAGATTGTTTGGAGGGAATGCATTTGAGAATAGGGTGTCAGCGGAGGGACTCATAGGGCCAAGAAGATAATTTTGAGGGAGGTAAACTTGCAGTAGTAAAAATGCAAATCTCAACTCTCACTGAACTCTGAAGTCTGCAGATTCAGGCACTAAACCATTTGAAGTTAGGCAACTATAAAGTTACCTGTGAACGGACAAAAGAGTGGCTCAGTAACTGGTGATTTGATTAGCAACAGTCATTTCCAGTAGATTTCTTTTTTACATCTTAAGACCTAAGGAAACAGATGTGGCTTTATATAAAAATTTTATTATTGGGCTTTTGTTGAGATTTCAGATGAGTCTCCCCTGACCCTAATGTATTTAAAGAAAGTCAATGGATTTAATTTATTTAAAAAAGCAATTCTGAAAGTTTCTTTCAATTATTTGGTCCAAATGTTTTTACTGTTCACTGCTATAAACAATATTTAACTCAAGATTTTTTTTTTGATTTTCAACAACAGAAAATACCGATGAGTAAACATAATTTTTATAAATATTCAATGTGATGCAAAAGCATAACAGTGTTATGAAAGTTTTCAAATATTTTGCAACTGGATCTCAAGTTTCCCTAAAGATAAAATAAAGAGCACTCAGTTAAGCTTCAGCTATGTTGCCATAGCAAATAGACTAAGTCACAGAACTTTTAATACAGTTTCTTTTGGCCTAAGTAGCATATCTATTATGATTTACCTTTTCAAAGTATTTACAGCAGTAAACGCCTACATTGTTTTTTAAGAGCTTCACATATAAGGTTAACTTACAATTATTGTAATACTTATTTGAATTCTCTTTCCATATTTGGCAAAGGTAACTATATGCTGCTTTTGACAGTAGTTTAACAAGTCTGAAGATACCCGCACAGTAGTTCTGCTAAGCACTTTTCCACAAAAAGAATGTGGTTTTTAAAAGGGCCTACCAGTATGCAAATTAACCTAGAAAAATATTTCTTTTGTGCTATGTAACTCTTGCTTTTTGATTTTTTTTAAAAACCAGGAGAGAGAGCAAGAGAAAGGAAAGTGAAATACAGTAAATAACCTTACATTGGCACAGAAGGAAGGCAAATTATTTTCCCCTTGCTAATTTGTTTTGTGTCTCAGTTGAAACAGCTTAGTCAGTGTAGAGTTCCTCCTCTTTATTTGCTTTGACAGGCAGGATGACTATCAACTACTGTGCAGGGTTTTCCCACTATATCTGCCTCATCAAGTTAGATTTCTTTTTATCTTAAAAAAAAAAAAAAAAAAAAAAAAAATCTGTTAATCCATTCTAGCTCCTAACCTAAGAAGGTGAGTCTGGACGCAAAATCTGCACTATTCCCACATTCACAAAAAGCACATTAGCCAGAAGGTGATTAGGTAAGGGCTTGTCTACACTACCCCTTGGGGTCGATTTAAGATACACAACTTCAGCTAGGTGAATAGTGTAGCTGAAGTCGACACACTTAGATCGACTTACCCCGGTGTTTTCACTGCGATAAGTCAACAGCTGATGCTCTCCCGTTGACTCCGCTTGCGCTTCTCGTTCTGGTGGAGTGCTGGAGTCGACGGGAGAGTGCTCAGAGGTCGATTTATCGCGTGTATACTAGACGTATACTAGATGACCCCTGCTGCATCGATTGCTGCCCGCCAATCCGGCGGGTAGTGTAGACAAGTCCTTAGATGTGAGGGAAGTTTGGTTTTGGAAAGAGAAGAAAAGAAAGCCTTGTCTTGCGATAGCTTTAACAGTCCGCAAATAACAGCCTAGGCACAAGACGATTAGATAGCTGCTGAAAAAAGCTTGGAACTTTGTTACAACCGTCATCAGATTAGTGTACAAGGATTCACCCACTGGATATCACCTGCTCTTTGGCTTCTGGGTCTGAGCAGAATCTAAGCACTGTCTCAGGCTTTGGACCTCTGGGCACACTTCTGGGGACACATCCTCTAACTAGCACCCAACCCAGAGAGAGAAAACTTTTTACCCGCCCAACTGCCCAGGCCCTGCAACTTGTGCCAGCTGTCCCAAGCAGCTCTTGCACATTCCCAAAGTTTCACTGAAGCTGTTGATCCTCTAACTTACTGTTACCCCCGTTAGGGACAATGTGACATTGAATGCAAGAGTCAAAAAGACAGTGCAAAGGAATTTCTAAAATAATTACCCTTTACTCATAGAAAACACACAAAAGCTATACAGATCTATGGAAAAATAGCAAAAACCTGCATGCAAACCCCTCTCTCAGTTTCCTCACCACTCAGAGTCCATTTGGCTTTGGTCAGTCCTTTCAGGGTTCCAAGACCCTCCTTTGCTACTGCCCAGCCTTGCCTTCTGGGCCTGGGTCTCCTCTCTCTCTAAAATTGCCTGTAAGGAAGTCCTCCTTTTATAAAGGTTCCCACTTAAGGTGACTTTCCTCAGTGTCTTCAAGTCCCTCATTAGAGAATCCATTCCTTGGGTATAAGTCCCCTGAAAAGAAGTTACCTATCCTCCAGTAATCATGGCTGATCAAGACATTTAGTCAGCGCTGATTCCACTGTTGGTGCCCACCTCATGTGCATGAGATATTTTTTTTTTTTTAATAGTAGTGTGCAGTAGGGCCATGCATGAGCCCTGTGCCTTCTTGTACTCCCACACAAGGGCATTAGGGGCAGGGCATCCAAGATCCACCTTCATTTCCCTTGCAATTTGAAACTCAAAAAGCAGGAATAGAGGACAGGTCATGGGACCACACTGACTACATCTCGAAGAAAGACAATTAAAATGTAAGTAACTGTTCTTTCTTGAGTATGTGTCACTGTGAATACCATTGTAGGTGACTGGCGGGCAGTCAGGATGGTGGTAATGAGGAGTTTCAGCTATGTGCGTTGAACAGTGATGAATTTGGCATCAGCTCTGGAAGATGAGTCCAATGCATAAGTCTTGACAAAGGTCAGTGGGACACTCCATGTTGCCGTTTTGCAGATATTGGAAATTGGTACATTTCTGAACCAGGCAGAGGATGTTGCTTGAGCTCTGATGGAGTGAGCCTTGATGTTTATTGGGATTACATCAGCTAACACATTTGTAATCCATTCCCAGTATCCTCTGTGAGGAGAGGGTTTGAACTTGAGAACACGTGCCCATGACTATAAATAGATGGAGCAACAATCTGAACAATTTGGTCCTATCAGTGTAATAAAGCAATGGTCTTGGATATATCTGGTATCTTTAATTTATTTTCCTTTGATGCCAAGTATGCCATCAGGAAGAAAACAGGCAGACTGATTGACTGGTTTAGATGAAATTCTAAAGCCACCTTAGGAATGAACTTTGGATAAGGTCCCAGCAACACCTCATCCCTATGGAATTTTGTATAGGAACTCAGGCTTAGCCATAATTGCCTAACACTTAGTCTCCTGGCTAAAGTGTTATCCACTAGGAAGATCATCTTCAGATGTGGTGCAGGGAGTAGGTTTGAATGGAGACTCCATCAGTGTCAGGACTAAATTGAAGTCCCAAGTCGGAGCAAGTTCTCTGACCAGTGGGGAAGTGCCTAACAGCCCTTTAAGAAACTTTGATACCATGAGAAAAGACTGAGCATGACTATACAGGTGGATGCTAAGCTGAGATTGCTATGAAATATACCTTAGTAGAGATGAACAAGAGGCTATCCTGTATAAGTGCAATAGATAAGGATCTGTGATATTGAGCCTGGATCTGGTCAAGACCACGATGGACTGGCCATATAAGAACATAAAAACAGCCCTACTGGGTCAGACCAAAGGTCCATCTAGCCCAGTATCATGTCTTCTGACAGTGGCCAGTGCCAGGTGCCCCAGAGGGAATGAACAGAACAGGTAATCATCACATGATCCATCCCGTCGCTCATTCCCAGCTTCTGGCAAACAGAGGCTAGGGACACCATCCCAGCCGATCCTGGCTAATAGCCATTGATGGACCTATCCTCCATGAATATATCTAGTTCTTTTTTGAACCCTGTTATGGTCTTCGCCTTCACAACATCCTCTGGCAAGGAGTTCCACAGGTTGACTGTGTGTTGTGTGAAGAAATACTTCCTTTTATTTGTTTTAAACCTGCTGCCTATTAATTTAATTTGGTGACCCCTAGTTCTTGTGTTATGAGAAGTAGTGAATAACACTTTCTTATCTTCTTTCTCTACACCAGTCATGATTTTATAGACCTCCATCATATCTCCTCTTAGTCATATCTTTTCCAAGCTGAAAAGTTCCAGTCTTATTAATCTCTTCTCATACGGAAGCCGTTCCATACCCCTAATAATTTTTGTTGCTCTTTTTTCTTGCCCTTAACATGAACATCCTCTATTTAAATGGATATATTCTACTGGTGGATACTTTCCTGCTCTGTGCCAGGATTTCTTGGACCTATAGGAAGCAATCTTGGTCAATGGTATTCAATCAGCCAAAAGCCATGCTCTGAGGTCCAGTGACTTCGAGTTCACATGGAGTATCTGGCCATGGTGTTGTGAGGTCAGGTCCACGCAGTCTGGGAGCTAGATCAGAGACAGATGGACATGTAGTAGGTCTGTCAGCCAAAACTGCCTTGGCCAATAAGGAGCTACAAGAAATATTGTGGCTTTGTTGCCTTTGATTTTGGAAATCACCCTGGGGATTGGTGGAAAGGCATACAAGAGGTTTTGAAGACACTGCACAAGGAAGGTGTCCACTAACAACCTCAGATTCATACCCCTTTGGAATAAAAGTTCTTGCAGTTGGTGTTCATGATGATGGCAAACAGGTCTGTCACCAGAGCCCCTCAAAGACTACTTGTGAGTGGTAAACAAGTGTCTCCTCAGGAAGTCTGCCAGGTTGTTGTTGATATCCGGGAAGTGAAGAGCCCTCTGGGTTATCCTATGCTAGTGGCACCACATCCAGAGCTTGATGATTTTCAGGCACAGTGATGATGAATATGTGCCTCCTTGCCCATTTATGTAGTGCACTGTGGAAGGACTGTCCATCAAGATCTGTAGAGTTTAGAAGAACAGTTAGGAAGGCCATGCAAGTTAGCCTGAAGGCTCTGAGCTCCAGGAGAAATATAAATAAAGGAAAGGAATTATTTAAATTCAAAAGATGTTAGGACAAGGAGCAACAGCCTACTGTAAACATAATATTGGGGTGGGGGGGGAACTTAGTGGTGAGAGCAAATTGGTAGTGAAACTGACTCCCAAGATTGGTCAAAGCACAAGCATTGTCATTGTTGGCATCTAAGAAGACAGATAAGATATTCAATGCAGAATGTCAGACTGAAAGTTCAAATAGTCTCTTCTTGCTAAACATCTGATAATGCTGTTCAGAATTCTGAGACTGAAGAAGTCATGCAAAAGTGCTTTGCCAATTTATTACTCTGCCAGATAGTTTTAGTTTGTGCTTATTATACCAGAGATACCACAAATCATCAAAAACATTTCACATAATTAGCTATCCACCTCTAAAAAAATATGGGAAGTTTTGGTGACCGAAGATCACCCAAATGCCCAACTGTCCCAATTCTGTGAAGAAGCATGAAGAGTCCACTAGTTAGGTGATTACACACTGGAAGCACACCATATAAAAACAGTAGAAAAAGAGATAATTAAAACATATGATTGAATACATATTTAAAATAAAACTATAAAAAGATTTCATTACCTTGGCAATGGCAGTTTGTTTATACATGCGTGTAATCAGACCCATGACTTGAACAAAGTGGCTTTCAGCGACATCTGAATTTGGAGCCCTCATTAATTTCTCCCACTCTTCAAAGCTGGTATTCAGTTCCTGAATGGGGGAAGAAAAATGTTTAGAGGTACAATATAAATGGCAGAACAATTACTGCTTCTGTGAATCATGTCCTACCTTCCTACCAAAAGGAACGGTAAGGAAGGAGATTATATTCAAAGATGCCAGTTTTTTCATAGAAAAACATCAGTACAGCAGCAAGTCAGTCACATGTTCCTACCAATAACAGAAACTTGTGACAAGCTGCGGGCGAAAATAAAGCTCACTCTGTTAACATTATGAATCAAACACTAAGCACTTTTTATTAAGAAGAAGTACTGAACAAGCAAAAAGAATTCTAATTATATATGAAAGTGGAGCATCAGGAAAATATAATCATGTAACAAAGAACATTAATGGTAAGATTTAGTTTTAGTCAATCAGCCAAGATGACCTGATGAAACTTATTTAAATAAAAATACAATGTAATCAAACCTTCACAATATTTTCCTTTGTTACAAATAACTAAACAAAAACAGGTTTCAGAGGAACAGCCGTGTTAGTCTGTATTCGCAAAAAGAAAAGGAGTACTTGTGGCACCTTAGAGACTAACCAATTTATTTGAGCATGAGCTTTCGTGAGCTACAGCTCACTTCATCAGATGATCATCTGATGAAGTGAGCTGTAGCTCACGAAAGCTCATGCTCAAATAAATTGGTTAGTCTCTAAGGTGCCACAAGTACTCCTTTTCTTTAAACAAAAACATTAATTCTACTTGATTGATCTAATGCCATTTATGCTGATTTTCATGTGCTGTTAAATACTTAACAGATATAACTATTTGGTACTCTGGTCACAAGGTCTGGGCACCTTTAAACGTAAGATAGACTCTTGGCCCAGATTACCTCCCCCAATGTAGATGTTAATTCTTGTAGGGCATGGGTATTCCATCTTATCCCTTTTAGCATCCAGATGTGAGCCCAGGGTAGGGAGAGACAGACACACTTGTGAGAGTTGCATTAGAGGTGCGTGTTTGAGGCCTTCTGACACTCATTCCCTAGAACTCTTGCTCCCAATCCTACAACATGCACAAACTGCGATGTGACCTGGGGAAGGGGTCTTATGGGAGGGAATGACTGTGTGTAAGGAAGAAATGGGGTGGACTTGTGGAGGGAGAGCAGGGGAATGGGAATTTAACTTTTAATTGAGAGTGGAAGAAAATTTAAAAAAAAAAAAACAACTGAATAAATTAAACAGATGTATAAAACAGGAATGTAAAATGTTAACCGGTTAGCATTAGTCTTAATGGTTAACTCACCTTAACCATTAACTCCCAGGCCAGCTGGGAGGCTGGCCGATCGCAGCAGCCCTGCGCCCGCTGAAGCGGCCCCAGCTGCGCCGCCCAGCCACAGCAGCCCCAGCCGCATCTCCAGCCAGAGGAGCACCACCCAGATGGAGCAGCACCACCCAGCCGCACCGGTCAGCCCCTTAATCGGTTAACCATTTAAACGAAATATTTTTAAATAAATTAAACAGTTAACTTTTAAAATGGTATTTACATCCCTAATATAAAATGGAATATACTTATAAAACAACGGTGAATAGACCAGGGTTGGGGATGAGTAGTCATTTTAATAATTTGATGGGAAAGAAATGGAGACAAAACTTTTAAAAGGGGAAAAATATTTGCTACCTTTGTTACTATTATGATAAAAGCCAAACCAAAATCAGAAATAGTGAAGAAATTAACACACTTAATCTAATACCCCATTATTTTCTTCTAATACAATAATATGATATTTATTTATTTATCTAATATCATAATTTTTGAGAAACGGACAATTTTAATGGGGTTTATTTCATGTCCTCAAACTCACTTGAGTGATTGGGCTACACAAACTGTTTACATGTAAATGTGTAGCATGAAAAACATAATTCCAGAGTATACAAAATCTTCCATTGGGAACTTTGGTACAGTACAACAGTTATCATGAGACTAGGGTCTGAAAGCAAACTACCTCAACCACAATCCAAATAAGTCTGAGATAGAATCATACAACCATAGGACTGGAAGGGACCTCGAGAGGTCATCTAGTCCAGTTCCCTGGTCCAGTCCCCTGCACTCATGGCAGGACTATTATCTAGACCAGACTTGACAGGTGTTTGTCTAACCTGCTCTTACAAATCTTCAATGATGGAGATTCTGCAAACTCCCTAGGCAGTTTATTCCAGTGCTTAACCACCCTGACAGTTAGGAAGTTTTTCCTAATGTCCAACCTAAACCATCCTTGCTGAAATTTAAGCCCATTGCTTCTTGTCCTAGCCTCAGAGATTAAGGAGAACAATTTTTCTCCCTCCCCCTTGTAACAGCCTTTTATGTACTTGAAAACTGCTATCTTGTCCCCTCTCAGTCTTCTCCTCTCCAGACTAAACCTAATTTTTTCAGTCTTCCCTCATAGGTCTTGTTTTCTAAACCTTTAATCATTTTTGTTGCTCTTCTCTGGACTTTCTCCAATTTGTCCACATTCTTCCTGAAATGTGGTGCCCAGAACTGGACATAATACTCCAGTTTAGGCCTAATCAGCATGAAGTAGAGCAGAAGAATTACTTCTCGTGTCTCGCTTACAACACTCCTGCCTAAACCTTTCAGAGGATGTTTTTCGCAATAGTGTTACACTGTTGACTCATATTTAATTTGTGATCCACTATGACTCCCTGATCCCTTTGTGCAGTATTCCTTTCTATGCAGTCACTTCCCATTTTGTACGTGTGCAACTGATTGTTCCTTCCTAAGTGGAGTGTTTTGCATTTGTCCTTATTGAATTTCATTCTATTTACTTCAGACCATTTCTCCAGTTTGTCCAGATCATTTTGAATTTTAATCCTATCCTCCAAAGCACTTGCAACCCCTCCCAGCTAGGTATCATCCATAAACTTTATAAGTGTACTCTCTATGCTATTATCTAAATCACTGATTAAGATATTGAACAGAACTGGACCCAGAACTGATCCCTGCAGGATCCCACTTGACTGTGAATCACTGATAACTACTCTCTGGGAATGGTTTTCCAATCAGTTGTGCACCCACCTCATTGTAGCTCCAGCTAGATTGTATTTTCCTAATTTGTTTATGAGAAGGTCATGTGAGACAGTATCAAAAGCCTTACTAAAATCAAAATACACCAAATCTACCGCTTCCCCACTATCCACAAGGCTTATTACTCTGTCAAAGCTATTAGGTTGATTTGACATAATTTGTTCTTGACAAATCCATGCTGACTGTTATCACATTATCTTTTAGGTGTTTGCAAATTGATTGCTTAATTATTTGCTCCATTATCTTTCTGGATACTGAAGTTAAGCTGACCGGTTTGTAATTCCCCGGGTTGTCATTTCCCTTTTTATAGATTGGCACTATATTTGCCCTTTTGCAGTGCTCTGGAACCTCTCCCATCTTCCATGACTTTTCAGAGATCATCGCTAATGGCTGAGATATCTCCTCAGTCAGCTCCTTGAGTATTTTAGGATGCATTTCATCAGGCCTGATGCAGCCAGAGCCCTGGGACCCTCCCACCCCACAGGTTTCTAGAACCTGAGCTCCAGCCCTACTCCAGAAGTCTACACAGCAGTGAAACAGCCCCACAGCTGGAACTCCGCAAGCCCAAGTCAGCTGGCGTGGGCCAGCCACGGGTTTTTCTTTGCTGTGTAGACTTACCCTGTAAGGCCCTTTCCCTAATTTTGTCAGCTCTGTTAACTGTCAGTCAGTCTCCCAGAACCCATTACACTAGCTGTTCTATCCCAGTCTCTGCTGGTCCCACCCTAACCTTGCGTTATACACTCTCCACAAAGTTAAAAGAAAACCCAGTTGATGGATCATACTGAAAATCCTTTCAGGGGTTATACATTAAGGTTGGGGAAAGTTATTAGAAAGGACAGCAGAGATTATACCGACAGCCCTAATTGTATTTTTAAATCTCAATGTGTACTTAGATGCGCAGGTAGCAGCTACAAAGCCAAGAGCACTTTAGTTTATAAACAGCAAGAAGAGTCTTTTTCTTTTTGATGCACATTTTCCTATAGTTTACTCACGTGTATGTCAACTCAAGATTACTTTACTGCAACACACTGTACTGTTTGAGAGTACTCTGAAACTGAAATTGAATGTGACTGTCCACTTATTAAGTCGTGCACCCTCACGCAGAGAACACAGACACCAGAGCACTGGTTGTGCAAGAAGAGAGAGTGGGGAAAAGTGCTGGCCAGGCATTTTCTGTTGAAGAATTGTCAGGTTTGGAATGCTCTCACCTCTTGGTCTGCTAGAACCCAGATTTGTTAGCTTTCGGGGAACACCACAAAACTCGTATTTATTCTTGGGAATTAGAGGCAGAGACTGGTTGTTGGGATGTGTATACTTGGTCTTTGGATGGCCTGCTATTAAGGAGACATGCTTTTTTGTTATAATTATTGGTTGTCCCATAGATGTATTAAAGAACTTATTGGTTTAACTTTAATAAAGTTCCTGACAGATTAGAATGTACACTAAAAAGAGACAAAATACTAAACCCTGGGCAAGTTACTGAAGTTTATAATTTTAGATCAGAATATTTGATTATGTGTAAAATGCGAGATTTTGAAAAAGACTGCAACTCTTGCTGGTGAATACAAAAACACTAGTCATGAACTAATTGTGTATGAAATTTCTTTCAGTGAACTACCCAATAAACACTGCAATTAAATGTATTACTGTACTTTTAAGTGTTGTAGTCATTGCAAATGTGCAGATTAAATTTCTTGTACTGAGGGTTTGTTCAATTTTTGTAACATAACTTAATTTGGCAAAATATAGGCGAGACAGAGAATTAAAACAACCAATGTGTGCTAATAAGTGTAATTAGACGATTTTGTAAGGTAATCTATAAAGAGACATTTCAAATTAATACAAATGAACCCTTAACTGCAGTTACTTCAATATATTCTCCTATATATACTCCTCTTATAGTGAAGCTTAATTTTTTGTTTGTTTATTTTTATAATAAACATTTAGAGTTCAAGTATTCTTTTGGAATGCAGTACCTGTTACCTACTGGTACCAGATAGTGTTAATCCACTTAAAATGCAGCATTTGTCACCTCTCTCTTTGGGGAAAGTATGAGTAAAAATCCCTGGCTCAGGGTTTTGCTGCAAATATTCCCAATAGGGAGAGAAGATGCAGTCTTGTTCTCTGTTCTTCAGGGAGTGAAGATACAGCCTTGTAGTGTCCCCACCCTCCACACCAGACATTCTGAGGTTGAAGAGGATGGGATCTTTTCTGTACCTCTAATACTGGTAAAATTCTGCTTATAAAGTGAAGCGTTTCTGTGGAAGGGAAACCCTTCACTATGAGTTTTGGGTCCTGCACCATTTCAGGTGATGAAAACTTTGCTATTGACTTCAGTGGAGCTGGATCAGGTCCTGTAAGAGAGAGGCGAGTATGCACATGTATTTTATTATATGATACCAACAATTTATTTAAAATCCTAACACATTCTAATGTAGTTACTGTATGTGGTAGACTACATCATAGTGTATTATGTATGGCTCTTTTGGGGCAAGCTTCATAGATCGCTTGTGGATTCACCACCCATGGTAATGCAGTCACCTCATACCCATGGTGATAAAACCTATGCCCCATTATTTTATTTTTATGTGTATGTGTAACATAAACATACACTATATATAAATTCATGTTCCTTATATACAAAAATATATTCCAAATAATTCAGATAAAAAAGGATAGTAAACACAGTTAGATATTACTGCTAGCACCAAGTTTGTTAAATATTTAAAAATATTGAATGAGAGTCATTTCACCTTAGCCGCAGCTTTTGGGAGATCAAATGGAATGCGTTGTCTAATTTTGGGAGGCAACTGGGTTAGAACTTCATTCTTCAAGCGTCTGATCATTATGTTACTTAACAACTGATGTAATTCACCTAAGTTTGAAGCCCCTCTGCAGTCCCATAGAGTTCTTTTACCAAAAAACCTGAGAATGAGAAGGTGAGAGGGGTGATGAAACTTGTTCTGCTAACTTGAATCAACAATTTCTTTCATACACATTTGATTTATAACATGGGGCAAGATACCCATGTGTGTCAGAGCCGTACTCAGTGTACCTGGGTGTGAGGCACAGGTGGCTCTCCATTTCATTTCTGCCTCTCCACAATCCTAGAGGCTGGCAGGAACCAAAGTGGCCAAGAACAAGTTAGAGCAGTCTAGGGGCTGCTTTAATTTGCACCAGCAGATAAGGAGCCTCTCCACCAGCCAGGAGTATATTAAACTCTGGCCCTGCCAAGGCTGGAGGTCCACACTGAGCAGCCATCGAGCAGCATGTCTAGGCTAGAGCATCTCAGCTTTGTGCATTGCATCAGGTGGGGTAAAGGTTTCTGGCACCTCTGGAGGTGGGGGAAGGGATTGTTCTTTGTTTTGTTTCACTACTGCTGTTGAATTGCCTTATGCCCCCCACCCCTTTCAGCCCATTGGTTTGTACCCATTCCCTTACCTAATATTCTTTTGTATAAATGATCTCAGAACTCCTCTGTGTACAATTGGGTTTTTGTGTCAGGGGCTTCCGGATCTGCATAAGCAAAAGGGTAGGTGGAGGTGTCTAGATCTGAAGCAAAGAGAAACAGCTGCTACCAGCACATGTGCCAGTGCAGAGATGGGGAGGGGGTAGTTTGGTACAGTTCTTTCCTGATTGCCAGTGCAGCACAGCCAATACAGAGGATGATCACTGTTTTGGCTCTGTTGCTATAAATGTCCTAAGAAATGCTGAAGGCAGGCCAAAGATTGAGAAAGTCCTACTTTTGTTCCAAGAATTTTAACAACCCGCTTTCCTCCTTAAGAGTCTCTCTTCCCTGAGTGAATGATTAAGTGTCACCCCAACTGCCAGGTAACCTTTGAGCCCCCCACGTTCCATCTGAACACTCCCCTCTTTTGAACCCCTCTTAGTGCTATTTAACCAGCAGGGAAGATGGAAAGGGTCTTGCACACTGCCCCCCTTTCTGTTTTTAGCTTTTTTCTCACTCCTTTTCTATCATACTGGCCAGGAGATTAGCAGCACAAGTAGCATGACAAATTCCATCAAGATTTCATCAATTCTGAAGAGCTGCCCAACAAACACCTGCCCAGGATAGAAGTATATTGGAAACATCTGAAAGAATTTACAGTTCAGCAGCATTTTACTCTGCTGTCTAGAATCAACTTAGGAAGGGACACAGAGACTCATTTCTGAGCTGGTGAAGTATGATCATACCGTGAGGATGATGTATTCAGGAGGAAGATGCTGGCTACACCACTATTTAGAATCATAGAATATCAGGGTTGGAAGGGACCTCAGGAGGTCATCTAGTCCAACCCCCTGCTCAAAAGCAGGACCAATCCCCAATTAAATCATCCCAGCCAGGGCTTTGTACACTTCCTGTCCCGCTCCCCCATATTTATTTACTGAGTACTATATATACAATCCCCAGAAGACACTTTTTCTGTCCTAATTAGAGTCAAGGTGCTACCATTTTATTCATGTAAGTGAGAGAGGGGAAAGTTAAGAAATGGTAGGCAAAAAATTCAGACTCCCTCCAGACCTTTTACCTTCAGAAAGAGGTGACCTTGAATATCCAAGTCGAAAGATATGCTTGGAAAATACAGCATAAAAATGTTAAATCAAGCTTAAACATCATAGAACATTTTTATTTCAGCTCAATCATAAAGACAAAGTTATTTATTTTGAGCATGGCAGACCATCACTCAGTTTGATTTTTTGCACATTTATGGTATTCCAAAAATAAAATCATTATCCAGAATTGAATAGCTAACCACACTGTACATCCCACACACATTTGTGGTGTGAAAATTTCACATTCTCACAGTCAAAACACCTTAGAAAAAACAAAGTTACTCTGTCTGGATATCAGACAAAACTGTTTCATGGCATCTCAAATGCTAAAAAATTCATAAGCCAGGGGGTAAAACAAAAATTGTTTTGGGAAAATGGAACCTTAGAATATGAATTTTTATAAGAATATCATCCAAGTGAAAGTCAAGTTATCTGGCAAAATGAATTCCGTTAAGTAACAGAAATGTGTCTTCCCAAATCTGAGGTTCCAGAAACGTACATAAAGTTGAGAGCTAACATAACCACACCAGTGATAAAGATAACCATTAAGAATGACACAAAATGAATTTGTGGCATAACAAGGTTTTATAGATTAAGTTCTGAAAAAAAAATTATTTAAACCACAGTTTCTTAGCAAATCTGTTTCTGAGCAACTCCTCTTTCTTTTCTACTTTTAGAATACATCTAGAGAAACTGATTCTTAAATGAGAGAGAGAGAAATGTCTAGGGCACTGGACTGGAACTCAGGATACCTAGGTTCAATTCTCAGCTCAGCTACAGATACCCCACGTGAGCCTGGGCAAGACACTGTGTCTCAGTTCCTCATCTGTAAATTAGGGCAATGCTTCCTTATCTCACACGGGTATTGTGAGAATACAATACATTAGTGGTTATGAGATGATCAGTGATGAGGGAAATAAATAGCTGGACAGGTAGTCTAGCACAGGACTGGGGTGCCTGGACCGCCCAAGTTTTAAAGCTAGCTTTAAAACTAACTCAAAATATTTACTTTCTTCATTCCCCTGAATGGATAATTTACTTCTGGGGGAATTCTGTGCCACTGCACATGCACAGAATTTATGTCCCCGCAGATTTCTTTGCTTCCCCGCAGAAAAATGACTTTCTGATGGGCAAGCAAATGAAAGCCAGCAGTATTTTTTGGGTGCCCAGGGCAGCCAGCAGAGAGGTAAATCACTGTGGGGCAGGGTGCAGGACTAGGGAAAATCCATCTGGTGGCTCCTAACCAGCTGTTAGCCCCAGCTGGGCTGGGGAGGACAGGACTTCCTCTTCCCCTGCATAGAGGGTGGGTCTGACGCAGCCCCAGATGCCGATTTCTCCCCCAGCTGTAGGAAGCTCTGCAAACTCCCTCTGACCCCATGCTTCCTGTACCCATTGCTCCTCAGCTGCAGGGGGAGAGATCCGCCATCTGCCCAACCCCCGTGCATCCAGACTCATCATACCTAGACTCTCCCGCCGAGCCTCATCCCCTCCCCATCCCGCACCCAGAACCCCCCTCCCCCCCGATGAGCCTCACTCCCCGTGCACCTGGACCACCCCGATGAGCCACCCGGCATCTGGATCCCCACTGTACCAAGCCCCAATCAACTGCACCTGGATCCCCACCCTACTGAGTCCCACTCCCCCAGCATCTGGACCCCACCACTGAACCCCCCACACTCAGACCCCCCTGCCAAGCTCTATCCCCCTCCACCCCAACACCCCTACTGCTGAGCCCCAACTACCTTCATCTGGACCCCCTATGGAGTCCCATTATGGTTGCACCCAGAACCCCCCAACAAGCCCCTGTACATCTAGATCTCCCCCCATACCCGGATCCCCCACTCAGCCGCCCATACCCAGATTGCCCCACACCTCTCAACCCACACCTGGATTTCCCCACACTAAGTCCCCTCCACAGTTCAATCCTGTCTTGCTGAGCCTGCCTGCCCACACCTGGTGCACCTTGCACAGAGGAGCATGCCCTGGGGTGTTTCTGGGGCAGGCCCAGTCCTTGCACTGTGTCAGGGTTGGGTGCAGCCTCACTGCTGAGTGAGTGTCCCGGGGGGAGGCTGCACAGTTATCTCCCACCGCTGTGCAGCCAGTGGTCTGTGCACTCCAATGCCATGCTAGAGCCTCCACATGTATTTGACAAATAAAATTTGCAGAATTTTAAAATATTGTGTGCAGAATTTTTATTTTTTTGGTGCAGAATTTTTAATTTTTTGGCACAGAATGCCCTCAGGAGTAATAATTTGTTTATAAAACACTTTGAAGTAGTATTATTACTATTAGAGCTGCCCAAGGCTCAGGAATTACAAGTGAAAAAAGGTTGTCTACCTGTTCTGTAACTGTTGTTCTTCAAGAAGTGGATGCAGATTTGTATTTTACTCAAATGTGTTCACACCTAACACATAGGAGCAAGAGACTTTCCTGCAGCAGTGCCTGTCGGGGCAGTGAGAATCCCCTACGCCTCCTTGTGACCCCTCCTGAAGCTATAGAAGGGCAACGCTGCCAAATCCCCTCAATTTCTTTGCACTGGAGAAAAAGCTAAGGGTATATCTACACTGCAATAAAAGACCTGTGGCACTGAGTCTCAGAGCCCGGGTCAAATTAACTGGGATCTTGTGCTGCAGAGCTAAAACTAGCAGTATAGGCATTCAGGCTCAGGATGGTCCTGAGGCTCTGAAACCCTCTGTGACATTGAGCCAGAAACGATTAAGCAATTCGCAAGCTAAATGACCCACATTCAACCTTTAGAGACGTGAGAAAAGCATGTCACTGGTAATTAGGGACATTTCATAATGTTAGATAGACTAGAGTTTTGAAATGCAAATCTGTATCGTAAGAGAATTAGAGGTAATACTAATTGTACGTGTTTACTAACAACTTGTTAGATGTTAACCATGTAAACAGACAGTTCCTGTCTGTTACTACTATTGATTCAAGGATCAAAAAGGGAATATTAATATCTAGATGAAACCTGAATGTAATAATATCATTATTTATATTTTTCTTTTAAGTTTGTAGTAAACTGTCTTTGAACTACTCAATGGATAATTACCTTATGTTGATGAATGCAACTAGTTACCACATAGGAAATAGGAGGTTCTACTTCAAAGCCACAATGCTGCACCCAAGTAAAGCTATAAAAAGGACTCTGGTGCCCTGATCCTGTATCTCAAATCTGCTTAAGATTCATCAGGGGAAGTCTGAGACATAAGAACATAGGAATGGCCATACTGGGTCAGACCAAAGGTCCATCAAGCCCAGTATCCTGTCCTCTGACAGTGGCCAATGGCAGGTGCCCCAAAGGGAATGAACAGACAGGTTATCATCAAGTGATCCATGCCCTGCCATCCAATCCCAGCTTT